GGTACTTAATTTATCGCTCTATTAGATGACGCGTGCGCTAACTTCGCGCAACAGACACTTCCATTTCGATACCAAGACATTTTTTCAGGTATGCAATATGCTGTGTATGTTTAATACAGATAAAAATGTAGACTTACGACCGCCAGTCTGGGCGCCTCCTGAAGGTTGCTGTGGGCCGCCTCCGACGACTTTGAGGGCCTCCGCTGAATCGATTTGTTTCACGCCTCAAATTATACAAAAAACACCGCTAATACCGAAAAAAGTACAATTCAGCTATTTTCAAATCTCCCTATAAACAATCCTGGAGAATACGACCCAATGCAATTACGACACTGTAGGCTGAGGAAATTGTAGCGACCCCTTATTCGTAGACATGCTTTCCTCGGACGCCGCGGGGACAAGCGTTTCAAGGTCACCCTCTGTCTGGCTCACGCACTCCGGTCAACTCAAGGTCGGCACTTGTCTGGCCTCACTAGCCAGTCACTTCCCAAGGCGAGACCAGTGCACAAGATACGGAGGAGTTGTTTGCACCCAGTCACTTCCGGAGCCGACGACTGACTCTTCGGTGATCTACTTGCCGGACTGTGCCTCTGGACTCAGGCCCAAGCATGGCTGGACTACACTTGCTTGGGAGTAATTTGCATGTTACTCATATACTACTCCATCTAACCTTATTAAATTATTCATAACACTCTGGCCTTCCACACCTTATCCTATCAACTAGCTCATATTCGTTCGGATACGTTCTCTCCTCTATTATCCGGCTGGACCACATAGTATACCACAAATTTAACAGTTAAGGAAGAAATCACATTTTCAGAAAACGTGACATGCACCTATGAGGAACCTCACTGAACAAAACATCTCGACGGGGCTGCTAGTCTCCTGTCGCTTTGTGTATAACATATATCCTCCAGAGCGAAGGAGAATTAATTACATTAAGGATGTACTTTTTGATCTCTTAACCTCTTTTCGCGGGCTAGATTGCGTATGTTCAGGTCGGTAGTTACTCTATAGAGAATGCACGAAACATCCATTTGCTAACTCGAAGTGGAGCTGGAAAAACAATAGTTTCTTTTTCTTCCTTGCAGACCGTTATCTGCCTGCAAGTAACCATTAGCTTGAGAGCCAAACCGCGTTAGTAAAGATGGAATACGGTATGCATATTGATAATAGTAATTTACCGTTGACGGTAATCGTTATTGAAAGTATTGCTGAAGCGTCCAAAGGCTTGCCTGCCTTGTCCGTAGCGTGTATGGTGAAAATGTAAGTGGAAGGTATTCTTATGTTGTTCAGTACGAATTCTGTCTTCGACACTGTAGCGTTGTCCTGATATGTTGCATTGCGAACGAGGACCAGATACTGGTTTCCGCATTTACTTGCATCCGTTGGAGGCTTCCAAAACACACGCAAGCCCGTGGTACCTACCATCGAGGCATTCAGACCCATGGGAATCAAGCTTGCTGCAGACAAAAGGTAAATAAATCATCT